TCTTCTTGGTGGCAGCCCCTCCAATACTGGAAGACTGCTGTCATGTCCCCCCTGTATCTAGTTTCTTCCTCCCAAAAGGGTCTTAAGAGCTAACCACTTGTTTGGGGTTGGATTTTTGCTTTGTTTTGATTTGGGGGTTTTGGTTTAAAGCAAGCAAAGCCTATTCAGTTTTAAAAACCTGATCTATTCAACCAAAAGAAACACCCTTCAGCACAATCGGTCGCATGCACTGCATATGCCGGTCAAGCTGGAGGGTCCAAATCTGCTGTGGACAAGGGGAGTTAATAGGGTCACCTCTGGAGTTGGCTTCACCGGCTTCAAAACATCTCCTTTTGGTTACCATTTCTCCCAACTGTTCTCCGAAGATTCATTTTGGCAGCTCCTATTATACCGCTGGGGCTTTGTGCCACCCACCCTTGGCATGGAATGTGGTCCAGCCGGTCGGAGTTGGCCATGTGATCCCGGGTAAATGCTGGCTTAGAAGCTGATTGCCACGGTCAATATTTGCAGTAGCTGGAGGGAGGGAACAGCTCTTTTTAAAAAAAATTATTTTCTTTTTCTCCCGGCTTCCCAGCCCCAGCAACTCCAGATTGACGCAAAAGTTTCTGGAGTTGCTTAAAATGTTTCTCAAAGCCGATGGGTGGGTCTTGCTCAGCTCCCTTCCTGCAAATGTTTCACGCATCAAAGAGAGCCGAAGATGAAGGACAGGCTGGAGGAGCTGAGGAGACGCATGTATGAGAATGGGGACTCTCTGGACCTGGAGGAGACCTTCTCCTTTGACAACCCTGCTTTTCAAGAAGACGAGAGCAGTCTGATGAGTAAGGTTCTCCAAGAAATAAGCAGCCTCTCCTTGGCTCTGAATAACCTGGAGCAATATTCTGAGAACATCGACAAGAAGCAGCAGCAGGTGCTTTGCTGCACCACGGAAGAAAGCATTGGTGAGGAGAAAAAAGAGCTTAGCACCATGAAGGACATTTTCACCAGGGAGGCTAAGGCTCTCCAGCCAAGGCTTAATGGCATCCAGGAGAGCTTGGCCAAGGACAGCACTAAGAGTCTGGCCATCAGCCGCATTCGCTACAGCCAGTTCTCGGTGTTGGTCAACCGCTACCGTGAGATCATCACCCGCCATTACGCCAAGGAAATCCACTATGTGGAGAAGCTGAAGGAGCAGATCCAGAGACAGACGGAACTGGCAGGCTTGCATCTCCAAGAGGAGGACATCAAGCAACTGGTGGAGAGCCAGACAATGCCGCGCATTGTTGGCCGAGACCTGGATGTGCTCAAAGCCAAGCAGCATCTCGCCATGGCCCAGGTGCGCCACCAGCAGCTGCTTGACTTGGAGACCCAGATCAGTGAGCTCCACTCCCTCTTCTTGCACTTGGAGATCCTGGTTCTGGAACAGCAGGAGGTCCTCGACAGTATTGAGTACAACATCCTGCACACCATTGATTACATCTCCCAGTCCAACGAGGAGGTCAAGAAAGCCATCAAATTCGAGCGCCATTCCCGGTTGTCCACCATCTTGTCGGCACTCCTAGGCCTTTGTGCCTGTTGTACATGCCTGTCATGCATGGCAACTCCAAGTGTGTTGCGCTGAACAAAAAAAAAGCGAGAGAGAACTGTTCCTTTCAAGGAGAAAGAGAAACCCTAGATGGCCAAGAACCTCACGGAGCGTTGGATGTACATCTGAGAAGAAGTCAGTCTGGATAAAGGGGGCTGATGGGTGCTTCCAAAAAGGCGGTTTTTGGCTTGAGTTGAGTGGAATATTTTGCTTTTTTGTGTGTGCAAAGCAGAAAAAAAAAAGACTTATTGAAATGGGACCATAAGCTCAGCAGAGCTCACTTCATTTTTGCTTCTAGCAGCATTTGACTCTGCTACTGGATTACTGGAATGCAGGCTGTCATGATCCCATGCTCTAGTTTGTAGCTTTTAACAACTAGGATTCAACTGCGTTCTACGCCAAGAGATTCTTTTTTGGCTACATCTGGTGAACTGCAGTGAACAGATCTGTTCTTCTTGTTTTCTGTTTTAGCACTGAGGTTCATCACTAAGTCATCAGGGCAACGACAAAGCTGTCCTCTCATCAGTTCCTGGAAGGTTCACTTGGGCTGCAGGCGAGAAGCCCAAAGTTATAATGAAGAACCTTTGACAGTGCTGGATACGTGAAAGAAAAGTCCCTCTGCACACGCTCAGATGCACTCCCCGATCTTGGATGCTTTTGTGTGTTCCAAAAACAAGACCTTGTTTCCAGAACAGGCCGAGGATTGAAGAAAGCTGCTTCAGGGGTGTCGTTCAGACAAAGCGTATTTCATGGAGTCTAAATGCTTCAGCAAAATTTTACAAGTGCTGGTTTTTAGCAGATGAAAAAGGACACCCTAGAAGTAAGAAAATACCTTGAGCTGCAAAACAGGTCCTGTGTCAACACTGTGCTCATTTCTGACTTCCCTGAAATGCTGAAGATTGACACACATACACCTTTGTTTGTAAAAAATATTAAAGTAAAATAATATATTTGCAATCCAGGAGCCCCTTTCTTCCTGTTTCTCCCTCCCTCCCACCCCCCCACCCCACTGTACTGTTTTTGTGCCTAAAATGTCTTCTAACATTCTTGCAGTTTATCTCCCGTTAATTTAAGCTGTATTCCTGCGAAGAAACTCGTATTCTTTTTTTTTTCCTTGTTGGAAAATGAGATCACTGTGTCATACTGTACACAAATAATGAATGAGTTTGCTGATTTTAGTTCCTGGATGTTGTAACGCAGGGATTTTTAGGTCGTGCTTACATTTCACCCAAATAATTTACAACCGTGTTATCTCTCACAGTTGGCATAATGTGGGGGATAAATTAAGAGTGCCAAGGGTTATGCAAAAGTGAAAGAGTGTGTGTTATCACAGCTCCTTGGTCATCTTGCAGAAAGTAAATCTTTCCCACTGTTTGCTTTTTTTTTTTAATGATGTGTTAAATCATTAAATAGAGGAGATGAACTGTTTTGGCTTAGAACTGGGGTTCCTAAGATGGCAAAAAGATGGCAGTATATTGTGGATAAAGGGGAAAAATGGTAACTGATTGACTGTGTGTCTCAATTTTAATTTGGGATAAATTTTGCCAGTGTGAAGCTTGTGTAAAACAAAAGTTGTTGTAAGCTTATGTAAAACAATTTTTTAAAGATATTATTCAAGACTGGAAAAAGAGTTTATTGGGTCAAATAGTTTAAAAAATCCTGGTCTAGAGCAGAGCAAAGGTGCTTTTCCAAAACAGATTTAGCATTGCAAGCCTACTTTAGCATCTTGCAATTTTTTTAAAAAAAATGATTTTGTTTTTAACTCTCAAAATCATTACAAGAGAATATATGAAGCTCAGGGTTGAGTCAGGAGAACAGGGAGATCTCAGAGAGATCAAGAGAACAGAGCTTGAGCACAAACCACATCGCCAGTCCTCAAGATCACAGCAGCAGTTTTGGCATCTGCTCAGAAGATGAAAAGGTTGCTTTCAACATTGAGTAAGTCTCCAGCTGGAGGAGTTTATAACGTATACTTCAAGTCTCTACTCCAGCGGGTCTTCAAACTTGGCCCTTTTATGACTTGTGCCTGGCTGAGGAATTCTGGGAGTTGAAGTCCACAAGTCATAAAAGGGCCAAGTTTGAAGACCTCTGCTCTACTCTGATCCGGCTGGATTGTACCGGCTTAGTTGAGGTTTCCTGTTTACTGAGTGATTCTTGAGTAAAGATCACAGAATCTGGTGCTGCCAATTTCTTTTCCACTTGTCCTGCTGAACTTGGATTTTACCCCCATCAGTTTTCGAGATTTCCTTCGGCTCCTCGTTTTATTGAGAATAGCGGGGTGTGCAGGATACTTTTGTCCTTCGGCAGAGTCACAGTCATTATCGGCAATTTCATCCATTTTTCTAAGGATTGCAAAAAAAATGAGTTTTACCAGGAAGCTCAAATCTCCACTCCAAGTCGTCTGTTTTCATAGTGAAACAGCAAATCGTCACGTCTTTCTTCCACTGGGGAATCTAAATGACATTCACCTTTTCCTTTTTTGGGGGGGAAGGGGGGCGTAACGTTCCTCTGCTAATTTCTAAATAAAAAAAATTAAACAATCTTCGTTAAACAATCTTCATGCAGCCCAGAGTTTTCTGGCACTTTAAAATGTTCAATTTCCGTAACAGGCTAAGTCAGTGATGGCAAACCTTTTAGAGACCGAGTGCCCAAACTGCAACCCAAAACCCACTTATGCAACGTCGGGTGCCGGTGGGTGTGGCCCATTGGGTGGGTGTGGCCCATTGGGTGGGTGTGGTTGCGGTGGTAATGGCAGACTGGATGGGACTAAAAAGTTCAATCAATCAATTCCAACTTTGCAAGATTTCTTTTCCCGCCAGAAGTTGAAATGAACTGATTGAGCCTTTTTTTTTTTTTTTTTTGCACACGGCGGCGGAGGCCTAAAGCGAAAAGGTTTTATCAAACCCAGCTGAAGGCCTAGGACTGGGGCGACGGCGCACGTGCCCACAGAGAGGGCTCTGCGTGCCGCCTCTGGCACCCGTGCCATAGGTTTGCCACCACTGGGCTAAGTCAATCAAGACTTTTCATTCATTCCTCAGTGCCTCCTTTCTTTGACAGAAATTGCCTTGTCCCTTCTCTATTGTTTGCAAAAACTGAATGGGGGCTACAATGGAATTTAAAACGTTCAACCTATTGGGAGTGTTGTTTCTTAGGTCTCCTTTTTGTTCTCTTCTTGTTTTTGTTATTTATACAGTATGTTGCTTCCTATGTTGAAGCGAGTGACTTGCAATCACATGATAAGCAGCTCATTAAAACAGGAGTGCACCATGTCCCATAAAATATACTCATTAAAAAGATAAGGGAAGAAAAAGCATGGCTATCCCACATTTCATACAGGGAAGGGCTGGGTTAACAGATGGGTTTTCCCCGCAGGCATCCCACAGATGTATGCTAAGCATTTCCTGAATTTCTTATCTAAGAGGAAGCAGCTGTATTTCTTCTGTTCTTCCCCTCTGAAGTTCCTTACTTGGCAAGTTTTCATTGAGAAGATTCAGTTCTTACCACCGAACTGTGAGCCATATTAAGGGGTAAGACCACAGAAAGAGCATCCCTAACTGATTTTGGTGCTCAGGTTAGAAGGTATCTATCTATCTATCTATCTATCTATCTATCTATCTATCTATCTATCTATCTATCTATCTATCTATCTATCTATCTATCTATCNTCTCTCTCTCTCTCTCTCTCTCACTCATCTATCACTCATCTATCACTCATCTATCTATCTATCTAAATTTCCAGGCTACAAAATTCCCAATAAAGATAGTTCTCAAATTACATCCACCATTGGGACCAGAATTTTCATTGCCAAGCAAGGTGATGGGTAAATGAATCTTGCCTGATTTTACAACCTTTTTTTTTTTTTTTGCTTAAGTGAATCACTGCAGTTCTTCAGCAAATCCAGCTTCCCCCAATGACTCTGCTTGTCAGAAACCAACTGGGAAGGTTGCCAGTGGGCATCTCAGGATGCTGCAATCATTGTAAATACGTGCCAGAGGTCAAGCACCTGAATTTTGATTATATGACTGCTGGGATGCTGGGATGGCCGTAAGCATGAGGACCTGTTGTAAGCAACTTTTTTCAGTGCCAGTCTATCTTTGAACAGTCCCTTTGAATGGCTGTAGATCGAGGACTATCTGTAACTAATTTTTATTTTGAAAACTTCCATGTATTTCAAATCTCATTTAAGTAACTCCACACTGAAGTTCATGAAGAGCCGGCTTCTCCCTCCTTCTCTCCCTCCTTCCTTCCTTCCCTCCCTCCCTCCTTCCATCTCATTCTTTCTTTTGGCTTTCAAGGCTGTCATTAGCTTTTTGTTGTATTATCTCTCCTGTCCAGCCTGTCTGGCTGATTCATTCAACAGAGAGAAGCAGAAGCTTTAATAATTCAGCTTGTTAGGGGGACAATGGCCAACCGTCCTTTGGAAATGGCTGGAAGATTTTTTAAAAGGTGTCTGTTGGCAGGAGGGGGAATAAATTCTAAAGGAACCAGGTTTTCCCAGGAGAAAACATGATCTCCTCTGCCCACAATGAGATACCAATAGGACAGACTGCAGAGAACAATGGCATTCATTCAGAATTTTAAAGGGGTGAGAAACTTAGTCTGTAAGCAGATGGAGGACAGTGGAACATATGAATGAAAGTTAATCTGATGGCTTCCTTCTCCCTCTCTTTTCCACTCACTGGAGAGAACTGCAAAGTCAGCGCTGAGATTCTGAGAAGGATTTAGAGCTAGGCTCTCCAAACCAGGCAACTTTAAGACCGTGTGGACTTCAACACCCAGAATTCCTCAGCCAGCTGGCTGAGGAATTCTGGGAGTTGAAGTCCACACGTCTTAAAATTGCCAAGTTTGGAGAGTCCTGATTTAGAGAGATTGGGGTTCCATCCCAGGCTGAATTCAGGTAGTCAAATTAAACTCTAGAAAGATGCTCAACCATATCCAATGAAAACATATAAGGAACAGTTGCTGGAATTGGGTATGTCTAGTTTAACGAAGAGAAGGACGAGGAGGGACATGATAGCCGTGTTCCAATATCTCAGGGGCTGCCCCAAAGAAGAGGGAGTCAAGCTGTTCTCCAAAGCGCCTGAAGGCAGGACAAGAAGCAACGGATGGAAACTAATCAAGGAGAGAAGCAACCTAGAACTAAGGAGAAACTTCCTGACAGTTAGAACAATTAACCAGTGGAACAACCAGCCTCCAGAAGCGGTGGATGCTCCAACATTGGAGGTTTTTAAGAAGAGACTGGACAGCCATTTGTCTGAAATGGTGTAGGGTTTCCTGCCTGAGCAGGGGGTTGGACTAGATGACCTCCAAGGTTCCTTCCAACTATTATTATTATTATTATTATTATTATTATTATTATTATTATTAGTTCAGAAGACTTGCATCTCAATGTTCCATCCACCTTCTTGATGATTTTGACACCCACCCCTTATGAAAACCGTTAGATGGGCTGGTAAGAATCCCAGCAATTTCCCAGTCAGAACCAATTTAGCCTTGTATGCATGAGGTTAGGGATATTTTTATTTTCTGATTCAGTAAAGAGGAAGGTCTCTTCGGTGAAAACGTAGAAGATCGCAGGCAGCTCTTTTACATCCCAGTCTCCTAAACTTTTAATCACTCTGGAAATCAACCCTTGCAAGCCTCCTTCTTAAGTCAGAACTTTGCATAATCTCTCCGTGACATATCGGTTGAAGTGGAATACGCAGCGTTCAAAGCCTTAGATTAATGAATTTTCAAGAAGGACTGTGTGGGGCTTCCACCACTGAATAACAATACACTGCATTAAAAGAAAGCAATTCAAAGAATATTAGAGCTGAGGTGCTTTCAAGGCTATGTGGATAATCAATCTCATCTGTTTGAAAAACTGTTATTAAATTAGAGCTTTTTGTATTCAGGATAGGATTAGGACATCTCTTTCCTATTGCTCTTAAACAACGTCATCCATA